TATTTTTTTTTTTTACACAATTTGCTTATAGCAAAGAATTACTTTGCTATAAGCAAGCATTTACCTGAATGACATCGATTCATTCAGGGTTTTTTTTTTTTTTTTTGTGCTTAGCTGTGATTTGGCCACAGCTAATCACATGACATGTGCATGTGATTAGCTGTGACCATTCACAGCTAGGCAGTAGTATACAATGGATGGCATGAATGAAGCCATCCCTTTGTATACAACTGTCATGTTTGATTGGTCACAGCAGGTCACATGGTACCGACAACAGGGCCGATACTCAGATCTGTCACCGGCCGTGTCCGAGGTACACGGCCGGTGACAGATCACGCCGCTGCGCCGCTCTGCAGGAGCGCAATCTGCGCATGTGCAGGAGGACGCCATATGGCGATCACCCGGAACACTGATGACATTTGCCGCCCGCCATTTGGCCATAGGGTGGGCGGCAAATGGTTAAAGAAAAGAATACAGTCCCTGCAGTCAAACATGGTGAAGGTTCACTGATGTTTTGGGGTTGTTTCTCTGCTTCAGGCACTGATTGTCTTGACTGTGTGCATAGCATTATGAAATCTGAAGACTACCAAAGAATTCTGGGGTGTAATAATGTAGGGTCCAGTGTCAGAAAGTTGGGTTTCCGTCAGAGGTCATGGGTCTTACACGTCAAAAAGCACCCAGAAATTGTTTAAGACAAAGCGCTGGAGAATACTGAACTGGCCAGCAATGAGTCCAGATCTCAATCCCATAGAGCACCTGTGGAGAGATCTCAAAACAGCAGTTGGGAAAAGGTACCCTTCCAATCTGAGAGACTTGGAGTAGTTGGCAAAAGAAGAGTAGTCCACAATTCCAGTAGAGGTGGAAGAAACTCGGTGGTTAGAGGAAGTGATGGATTTCAGTTATTTTTTTCCAAGGGGTGTGCTACCAAATATTAAAATGAGGGTGTCAATAATTTTGTCCAGTCCATTTTCAAAGTTTTGCGTGGAATGTGTCAGATTTGGCTTTTTGTTTCTCCACTTTTTTTATGTCATACCAATACAAACAAAGAAATAAACACGAGAATGCCTAAACATTTAATTGCAACACTTTTTGGGCAAAGTGGTGCATTATCTGACAGAAATGCAGGGGTGCCAATATTTTTGGCCATGACTGTAGGATTTTAGAGGCAAAAAAATAATCCACTGCATTGCGTCCAAGAGTAGTGGTGTGTTTTGGCAGAAAAAAAATGTTTGATGCGTGTAAATTCTAGGTTTGTTTAGCACTTGAGTGTTAATTAATTTCAAAGACCAGAAAAAAATGTTACTCTGGCCAATGAAATTAATTAATGCCCAAACGCTTGAAGAGCCTAAATGTGTTACACTTTTCCAAGCATCAGGCATTTTTTCTGCCAAAACGCAACTACCAGGAAGGAAAGGCTTTTAGGAGAGTTGGCAAAATGTCAAGTGTGCATGAGGCCCAAGAAATAATAATGGCACTGCAAGTGTGATGTGTGGTTTTGGGAATGTGCAGATTTGAATGGCGGCTTATGACACCCCTGTGTGTCTACAAAAGAACAGTGCGTTTTGCTATCAGGTTGTGAATCTTGCAATTTACATGAGTTCCTGAACCCGCTACAGTGTGACCCTAGCCCAGGGTGTCCGGCCCATCTGGAGGGACTCTGGGGAGGCTGTGCAAGCACATCAGCTGACACAGATAAACACGGTCTTTAGGGATGCCAGGAATGTTGTGCAAAACACAGCAGCCTCGGCTGCCTACAGTGACAAGCCAGGGGAAAATGCAGGCCTGGAGGGATGGCGGGGCTGCTATGTTTGCAGTAACACTGGCAGCAGGGAATGTAGGGGTGTCAGCTAAGCAAATGTGTGGTTGGATATAGGGGGTTGCTGGGGTGAGCTGCTCCCCCACCAGATTTCAATTATGCCCCCTGACCAACAACCCCCCCCCCCCAATCTCCCCACACAGCACATACATCATAGGCTCCATTCACGAATTGTAGTGGCATTTCCTCCTGCGGCTCTCAGCGGGTAGGTGTTGCCGCCAGCCTGTTCACTATAATGACAGTTCGCTGACAGCCACTCCAATTTGTGTCTCTCTACATGGCCAGCAATTACCTGCAGCGAACACTGGTGGCTGCACTGCGTCCTGCTGCAGTCTCCGCACGTAATCGCTGGCTGTGTAGAGAGCTGCAAATAGGTGCGGCTGTCAGCAGACTGTCATTATAGTGAACGGACTGGCAGCCGCACCTACCCGCTGAGAGCCGCAGGAGGAACTGCCACTACAATTCGTGAATTGAACCTATGATGTAAGTGCTGTGTGTGGAGATGGGGGGGGGGGGGGGTAAAGGGTGCAATTGAAATCTGGAGGGGCGTAAAATTCTAGGCTTATTTAGCGCTTGAATGATAATTCCAGAAAAAAATTATGACTCTGGCCAGTGAAATGAAATACCACCCAAACGGCTATCCTTAATGTTTATTTTATGTGTGGGCCCAGATAATTTCTCTTCTACCAGTGTGACTCTGGAAGGTCAAAAAGGCTGGACAGTGCTGCTCCAGCTCCAACTGCCTCTGTCCAGGTTCATATATGTGCGGCTGTGGGGGCCGCGATTTGTGCGGGCACGAAGGCCCATTCATTTGAATGGACTCCTGTGCCCCGGGACACGTAGGGATGAAGTCCCTGCACTTCTTTGGAAATCGCAGGCTGCGCGGGGAACCGAGGTTCCTAGTACAGTTTTGATTTCAAGTGTGGGCGGCGTGCCATTAGAATTAATGTCACCTGCCTGTGGGTCCCGCATTCCTCTGTGGGCGGTGCGGTTGCAGGTATTTGTGTAGGTCCTGCATTCCTCTGTGGGCGGTGCAGCTGCAGGTATTTGTGCGGTCCCGCATTCCTCTGTGGGCGGTGCGGCTGCAGGTATTTGTGAGGGTCCTGCATTCCTCTGTGCGTTGCGGCTGCAGGTATTTCGGCGGGTCCCGCATTCCTTTGTGGGCGGTGCATCTGCAGGTATTTGTGCGGGTCCCGCATTCCTGTGTGGGAGGTGCAGCTGCAGGTATTTGTATGGGTCCCGCATTCCTCTGTGCGGGAGGTGCAGCTGCAGGTATTTGTGTAGGTCCAGCATTCCTCTCTGCGGGCGGTGCAGCTGCAGGTATTCTGTGGGTCCCGCATTCCTCTGTGTGGACGGTGCAGCTGCAGGTATTTCTGCGGGTCCCGCATTCCTCTGTGTGGACGGTGCAGCTGCAGGTATTTGTGCGGGTCCCGCATTCCTCTGTGTGGACGGTGCAGCTGCAGGTATTTTGTGGGTCCCGCATTCCTCTGTGTGGGCGGTGCAGCTGCAGGTATTTGTGCGGGTCCCGCATTCCTCTGTGTGGACGGTGCAGCTGCAGGTATTTCTGTGGGTCCCGCATTCCTCTGTGTGGGCGGTGCAGCTGCAGGTATTTGTGCGGGTCCCGCATTCCTCTGTGTGGACGGTGCAGCTGCAGGTATTTCTGCGGGTCCTGCATTCCTTTGTGGGCGGTGCATCTGCAGGTATTTGTGCGGGTCCCGCAGTGGCACCAGCTGCACAGGTGTGAACCAAGCCTTAGGCTAGGTTCACATCTCTGTGGGTGGGTGCGGATCCACACAAAAATCTGTGCAGCCGTACCACCCGCAGAGGAATGCGGGACCCGCAGAAATACCTGCAGATCGCACCGCCCACAAAAATGCTGTGCAGCCTGTAGCCGCACCCCGCCCAGAGGAATGCGGGACTTGCACACAAATACCTGCAGACGCACCGCCCACAAAGGAATGCGGGACCCGCAGCAATACCTGCAGCCGCACCTCCCCACCAGAGGAATGCGGGACCCACAGAAATACCTGCAGCCGTACCTCCTGCACAGAGCAATGCGGGACCCGCACAAATACCTGCAGCCGCACCGCCCGCAGAGAGTAATGTGGACCGACGGGTGGATGCTATTCTAGAGGCACGCCACCCGCACTGGAAATCACAACCGTACTGGGAACCTCAGTTCCTGTGTGGGTGGCGTTTTATGAAGAAGTGCCGGGACTTCTTCCCTGCTATCACAGGGCACGGGAGTCCATTCAAATGAATGGGCTGTCGTCCCCGCACAAAACCTGGCCTTACTGAATAACGTTGCTGCATATGACACGTCTGTTTTATTTTTTGCTTTACAACACACTTTGAACCAGTTTCTCTGGTTATTCCCGCCATTCTCTGTTCTCTCTCAGACAGCTGAGTTTTCCGCCATACACGTTGTTCGGTTTTGGATACAACTCTCTGAGGCGTGCACGCGCCTTAACTCCCCGCCCACAGCCTGGCAGTCTACGGCGCACGTGTCCCATTTCTCCGATTCCTGCTCGTTGACTGGTCGTTCGACGCGCATGCGCGTCTCTGCTAGGCTTTTGCCGTGCGACGTCAATGTGCCAGCGCCGGAAGTGCCTACACTTATTGAGCAACAGAGTTCCTTGTGAAGAAATCTAATGTCGGTCTACTGGACCCGAATGTGGTGTCTGGTCCGTCCCCCCAAGGAAGGCGGTAAGGATAATGGCGTTCTGCCATCCAGATGTAACAATTTACAAACGAACAGGAAACATCCGCAGGAACGGGCAGTATAGCTGTACTCTGTGTGCCATAACCTGCACCTCAGCCTCGCAGCTGTGTCAACACCTCCTGAGCATCAAGCATAAACAAACCCTGCAGTCAGCTGAACCCCAGGAGCAGAGCAATGGAATCCGCTTGAGCTACTTCCTGAAGGTCCACATGAGGGAAGACCCCATTGTGGGCCTTAGATATGTCATGGAGGTGAAGGAGGGCTCATCATACAAATACTCCTGCCAGCTGTGCAATGTGGTGACTACCAACTTGGTGAAAATAGTCGGCCATATCATGGATCCAGCGCATACTGAACGTTATATTATGGAACATTATGGCTACTTATTGCCCCATTTCAGAGGCATTCACATGATAAGTAACTACAATGAAGTTCTGAGAGATGCTGCTGCAATGATCATAGAATGGCAAGGGAATGACAAAGAAATTCAGGTCGTGCTCCCTGAGGGTGAGGGAAAAACAACGGAAGCCATCGCGGACACGCCACTATCCAAACCTGAGGGTGACGGTAAAACAGGGGAAGCCATTGAGGACATGCCACCATCTAAACCTGAGGGTGACGGTAAAACAGGGGAAGCCATTGAGGACATGCCACCATCTAAACCTGAGGGTGATGGTAAAAGCAGCAAAGCCCTCAAAGACACGCCACCATCTAAACCTGAGGATGATGGTAAAAGCAGCAAAGCCCTCAAAGACACGTCACCATCTAAACCTGAGGATGATGGTAAAACCAGCAAAGCCCTCAAAGACACGTCACCATCTAAACCTGAGGATGATGGTAAAAGCAGCAAAGCCCTCAAAGACACGTCACCATCTAAACCTGAGGATGATGGTAAAACCAGCAAAGCCCTTAAAGACACGCCACCATCTAAACCTGAGGATGGCTGTAAAACCAGCAAAGCCCTCAAAGACACGCCACCATCTAAACCTGAGGATGACGGTAAAACCAGCAAAGCCCTCAAAGACACGCCACCATCTAAACCTGAGGATGACGGTAAAACCAGCAAAGCCCTCAAAGACACGCCACCATCTAAACCTGAGGATGACGGTAAAACCAGCAAAGCAAAGCCTCAAAGACACGCCACCATCTAAACCTGAGGATGACTGTAAAACCAGCAAAGCCCTTAAAGACATGCCATCATCTAAACCTGAGGATCACAGTAAAACCAGCAAAGCCTTCAAAGACACGCCACCATCTAAACCTGAGGATCACGGTAGAACCAGCAAATCCTTCAAGGACATGCCACCATCTAAACCTGAGGATGACGGTAAAACCAGCAAAGCCTTCAAGGACACGCCACCATCCAAACCTGAGGATGACGGTAAAACCAGCAAAGCCCTTAAAGACATGCCACCATCTAAACCTGAGGATCACGGTAAAACCAGCAAATCCTTCAGGGACACGCCACCATCCAAACCTGAGGGTGACACTAAAACAAGCAAAGCTGTCGAAGACCCTCCACCATTCAGTCATGAAAGTGGAAATAGTTCTCACTCAAAATTAAGTTCATTACCATCCCAGGAGATGGGTTTGGATGAAAGCTGTGAAAGTTACCGCTGTAGTAAGATGCCCCCAAAATCTAAGCGTGATGGCCCAGCTTTGGCCAAGAGGAGCAGGCTTTCCCCTAAGGGTGACTGGGATGCTTTGCCTTCAACACTGCACATTTCAAAGCATAGGAACTCACAATATAATGAGGGCAATGTTATTAGAATGGATTCTACAATATCTGCACAGGAATTGGAGTTCAGAACAAATGATGCATTTTTAGAATATTTAGCTAATTTTGTGATCACTGATGATGAAGATGTCGTCTTTATCCGGACGATTACCCAAAACTGTCTTATGGCTTTGACAAGCTTTCAGGAAGAAGAGGCAGAGGGGCAGAAGACCGGTCCTCGGGTAGAGGATCCATTGGCTGATACAAGCAGGACTGCTCAAAAGATCCCAGGTATTTTAGAGGATGAAACAGAGTTGCATTCATTGGATTCTGAAGTAACTTTGCTCAAAGATACCTCAAATCCCGCCCCAGACTTCATCCCTAAAAATGAGGCCACTGACTTATTTTTCAACAGCATTAAAAACATGAATGAGTCTGAGGTGGTCGGCATTTTCCAGAAAATTGCCATGAATCCCGAATTTCAAGGGATGGACATACCTGCTGTAATCAGATTCTTGAAGAGTTCTGGCAGATTAAAGAAGTCTTGATACTGTGAAAATTATGAATGTGTTCTCAATGACTACAGTTGTTTGCTGAAGAGGTTCCACATAGAATAACTTGGATATAATATTGTTCAGCAGGTTCTTGCCAATTTATGTTCTCTCTCCTAGTTCAGCTGTTTTTCATACAGTTTTCTGCTATAGCCTTTTTTTTTTCTTTTTTTAGAATGGGGAAGGCTTAGAACCCCTGTCAGGTTTTTTTACCATTTTCTGGCACTCAGGTGGTAATATTTTCTGTACTTGTCCTAGTGACAATAGTTTCCTCAAACAGAAAGTGAGGAAAAATGTGCAGCAGGGACACAGCAATAAAACACTGACAGGGGTTTTACTCTACTAAAAAGACAGTTTGTATTTTTCTTTATTGCTTTTGAAGATTTTTCCCTCACTTTCTGTACTGTGAAACTGTTGATAGGACAAAAAGTGAAGAGGAACTAATTGTTTAATTTTCCACTTCTACAAAACTGTTAGGGGGATTATAGACATTAATGCAACAAGAAAATGTTTAATGCAGAGTGCTGCTGACAAATCCTGTAACTAAGCAATTCCCAAAATGTTTTGAAGGGAGGGTACAGCTGAAGTTTAGAGATTTTTCTTTCATAGTTCTATTGGTTCAACTTGGACCAGTGTAAGTATGCCTATCTCATACCTGACTGATCCTTGTGGAAACTGTAAATTACTTTAATCACCACTATTCCAAAGATGGCAGAAGTCTTCCAGATCCAGTACCGAGCAGCTGCCCTTCTGTACAGTAAACACAGAGGGTCCCTTGCTCAGCACTGCCACCATTATGGCTGCATTCACACTTGAGAAATTTGTAGCTTGAAGCTCCAAAAATGCTCAGACCTACAAAAAACAAAACAGTTTTTTTATGATGCCTCTTCACACCTGATTGCACAAACAGGAACCTTAGAGAACAAGTGATATTTTTTTTAAGTATGAGCATTTTTAGAGCATTGAGTTTCAAGCTACAAATTGCTGAAGTGTGAATGCAGGGTCAGAGAAAACTTTGCAATTGTTTTTCTTTTTAATGAACACAAAGCATTCTGATTGGATGATGTCGGAGTCAGCTGTTAATGTCACAAACTCTTGTCCATTTCAGAAAATGCCTTGTATTCATTGAAAAAGATACTTGGCTTTATCTGAATGGTGGCAGCTTTATTGAAAATTTAAGGTGATTAACCCGGGGAACTGCTGACAGATTAAAGCCATATCTGGGAGAGAGTACAATATATATATATATTAAATCAACCTAAGCAATTCTGGAGAATATGGTGCATTGTCTACTTTTAGGATGAATAAAGGAGAAAACCTGAAAGGCGACATGGATTATTCTCAATGTTTCCAACTTGAACCACATGAACCAACTCCTCTTTTGTGTTGATGCTACAAGCCAAACTTTAAACATGTATAACAACATTTTAAATAACAATTTGTACTATCTGGAAACAGCACAAAACTGTAAATCTCCATTCACGTTTGGGATCTTGGGCAGAATCACTGCAATTCAACCACAATCTCAAATCGCCCTGCAATCACGAAACACATGATCGTGTGTTTTAGGTGCCATTGAGAACGAATGGCACCCGAACATGCATTTTGTGATTGCAGTGCAATTTGAGAGTGTGGGCAGAATTACAGCGATTTTTGCCTGAGATCCCAAAACGCCAAATGTGAATGGAGCCTAAAGCCTTTAAGTGACCCTGTTGATATACAGAAAGTCCTAAGAAATAATCTATCTGAAAAACAGGAGTATACATTCCCACCTTTTCTGCTGCTGAACTCACCTTGGATGCTAAAAAAGTACACAGGCTCTGATACTTCCAGTAGTATTGATCTCTTGGGTACCCCACAGCTCTCACTGGACTCCTGCTGCTCTCCGTGTCACCAATGTCTCCTGTCAGGATGTGGAGGTCAGCAGGATTTTCCAGTGACGGCTGTGGGGGACCCAGAAAACCAACACTCCTGAAAGTGTTTGTTTTTGTTTCCCTGTGAATTCCACAGGACTATTTCTCAGGATTAGAGCAGCACTGAAAAGAGCAGGCGGAAGAAAAAGGGGAGTACACACGCTTTTATTTTACAGGTAGATACATTCTTAGGAGCTTTTGTGTAGCAGCTTTTTAAGGGACCACAAAACAAACACTTGCTATAATGTAGACCAGGTATAAATGAGATGTATCAGCAGTGTTTTGGTTTTACTACCTTCGTTTCATAATAAAGATTTTATGTTTGATAAGTCCTGGCTGTAGTGGGTTTTTTTTAATTTTGGAATGGGGGAATCAGGTTTTTACTGTTTCCTGGAACTACGTTGGCAATATTTTCTGTATTTTTTAAATTAAGGATGATAAATGCCTTCAGATCTGCCACACTGCGCTTTCAACTTTATAGATGAAACTTTACTACCACACATTCTGTAGGGATTTATGGGGTGGCACCTCTTGTAGAGGCTTTTAGTATGTTGGGTTTTTAGATGTTAGGCACTAATAGATTTGCTTTAAGTTGTCCACACACACACCAGAAGCCAATCTGCAAGTGCCGGTGAACTAATGTTTGCCGGCATCTGCCAATCGCCGGGCAGGAGAAAACAGAGCTCTGCCTATGTAAACAGGGCAGAGCTCTGTTCTGACAGATGGGGAAGTGAAAGATTGTGTGTCCATGCAAAGCAGGGAACAGGATCTTTCACTTACCCTAATAAAAGCACCACCTAGTGTACACCAAGCACATGGCTAAGCATGCACTTAACCCCTTGATTGCCCTAGATGTTAACCCCTTCCCAAACAGTGTCATTAGGGCAGTGATCAGTGCATATTTGTAGACTGATCACTGTATTCGTGTCAGTGTAAAAATGTCCGCCACAATATCGCAGTCCCGCTAGAAGTCACTGATTGTCGCCATTACTAGTATATATATATAAAAAAAAAAATTCCAGTATATGTCCTAGAGTTTGTAGATGCTATAACTTGTGTAAACTAATCAATATATGCTTATTGGGATATTTTTTGCCAAAAATATGTAGCACAATACATTTTGCCCTAAATTTATGAAAAAAGTTAGATTTTTAAAAACATTTATTTGGATATGTTTTATAGTAGAAAATTAACACTTAATATTATTATATTAATAATAACACAAAAAGTAGAAACTGCAGAGGTGATCAAATACCACCAAAGGAAAGGTCTATTTGTGGGGGAAGGACATACATTTTATTTATGTACAGCATTGCATGACTGGGCAGTTGTCAGTTAAAGTAATGCAGAGCCGTATTGCAAAAAATGTCCTGGTCAGGAAGGGGAGTAAATTTTCCAGAGGGCAAGTGGTTAAAGAAGCTTCTCCTAAAATGCTAGTTGCTTGGCTTGCATTTTGATCTTTTTGTTTCAATGCTTCCAAAATGCACTGACCTCATACAGTACCTTTTTTCTGATCTTGTTTTTCAGGTTAAGTGATTCACAGTACTGAAGCTAGAGAAGGCCAGGAAATTAGTATTTTCATATGGATTTCCGCAGTGGCAGTTTCCATACTTCTCACAGTACAGGTTTCCTTTAAAATATATCTAGGTTAAAACAGTTTTTTTTGTTTTTTTTTTTTTTTTTTTTTTTTTTGGA